TGTGCTCCTCACGTGAAGAGGTTGTTAATTACCTTCTGGTCCACCCTGTTGCATTTCATGGAAGTATGTGACCAAACTCAAACAAGGTGACTGCAAATCTTATTGCAAAACCCGCCTCTGATCACAAACCTCGCAGTCTGGAAAATAACATAATCATATAAGTACGCAATCCTACCAAGGGTTTAATTACTGGATTTGCTGTTACCTACTACAAGCATGCCTGTTACTTTCCTGCACATGCTTAAACTCAGATGATGGCATCCCAGATTACAGGCTCCAGGAATGTCTTCTGGATTCCACAAATTTCCTTTCAAAACCAAAAATCAGACTCCAGATATACCTCAAACACTCGTAAGACAGACAAGAGATTGACGTGATAATGCTTAGGAAGTTTTGAAGAAAACTTCCACTAGTGGCTGGTGGTCTTTGCTCTGAAGACCTAGTACCTAGTTAACATACTCATATTAAAAGCAAGGGTGTATGGTGTTTACCACAGCTAGTTGAGACATATCTGAAAGCAAGACAGTAAGGAAACACGCCAAAATTCGGAATAGGAGCACAGAGTCTGAAATCCATGAATTCTGTAGATGGGATCAATTCCGTCTCAACTCTTGAAATGGCTATTTAGTGGATTATCTGCATGGAAACAAGGTGAACCAAACGTGAGAATTTTTTTGATGTCTTTTTAATCCATTTTCATAGTTTAACTCTGAAACCCTAGTATTCCACAGAAAAACAAGTTACCAAAATTTATGTTCTTAAAGAGTTTCCACTTAAAATCTAAAAAAAAAACCCAAAACCCCCCTATTTTTCATAATTCCTGTAGAAGTCATTATTTCTCAACTTGTTCTTAATTTTAAGAAAGTTCTTAACTCTGTTAAGGGGCACAACAGCTAGTTATAATGTTAGAAACAACACATATTCTGCCTTAAGTCACAATACCACTGAAACAAACAGAAGGTCAAAAATTGAGAATTACTACAAAGTTTTGTTTTGTAGTTTAGCAAACCACATTGAAGTCATGCAAGAACTGTAGTCTTCAGAAATAAGAGAAAGATCTGTTTGGTAGTGAAAATATAATTTTATTTTTAACAATAGCTGCCAGCAGTATACTGGTATATCTGTAAAAGATGTTCCAGAGAGTGAAAGACATAAGCAAACTACAATAAATTGTATCAACTCTTCAAGTATTTCTGCAAACAACGCTCCAATTCTTGATGTCCTGTCTTGGAAGTCCTGATATCCTATTCTGCTCCACTATTCTCCCATCCCCCTCACCCCCTCCAGAAACAAAAATGTAATAGTTGGTGGCACAGGTTCTGAGGCAGATTAAATATTTTTCACTTGGGATAAAGCCCTCTTCTGAAAATATTAATTGGACGTGTTCAGATAGTACTCTGAGTGGCAAAGAGTAAAAAAAAAGTTGACTGTACTTAGCCACTTTTTGTTCTGCATTGAGATAGGCATCAGTGGGTTTGGCTCAAGCATCTTCAGTTTATTCATGTCTGTGTTCCTTTGATACAAAATGCTAATTTGCTACTTTAGCATAAAAACTTGATTACATCTCTCTTCTTATCATGGAACTGCACGCAACTTTCAATCAGTTTAGACATGCCCATTGTGGAAAAACCACCAATTTTATGGGAAAATGCAAACGTACAAGCTACATGGCTGTGACTGTCCGTGTGGGACATTTACACGGACCAGCAGTGGGACATTTACACAGACAGAAAAGCTTTGGAGTGCATGAAACTGTTTCAGAAGCTCACATGCCTCTTGTTCAACAGGCAGCTCGTACACGTAAGGAATCTCTTCAAGAAGGAAAGCTTTCTTAACAAAGAAAAAAAAAAAAAACAACACATGCATATACCTTAATCTGTTCTCCCACACAAAACCAGGGTGAAGACGATGGATTTTCCCTTTATGTTCAGGAAATACACAAGTCACCTGTTTTAATGGGAATTTAAGCATATTTCAGCTTGAGAATAAAGTAAGTTATTCAGCATGCTAATACATGCAACCAACTCGCAAACTGGAATGCCTACTTGAAAGGGTAACTGCTGTTTTTAAATTGCAGAAGGGGCTAGAAGCATCATTTTAAATTTAAACAGGGGGTAGATTAATTGCTGTTTGATGAAATTAAAAATGCATTTAAAGATCAGATTGTAAACAAGTTGACAGAAGTCAAGAATTTACATAGTTATGAAAGGGCTTTTTTAATTAATGTAGCGCTGGTGATTGGGGCCAGATGAAAGTGCTCTACCCACACCAGACGCTAAGCCTTTTACACACCACCCTAGCTATACTCTGCCGTTCTGAAGGGATGAGCCACAGAGGCAAGAGCTGCTCGTTCTCCATTAGATTCCTGGCCTCTGCTGAAGCCAGCAAGAGGCTGGCCAGCTTCTGCCACAACACAACTGTGCAATAGGAAGCCTAAAAGACACCAACTCCTTTCACACAGGACAGTTAACAGCTATCATACGGTAACCGCCTTAGAAATTGCTAGCCTGGTCCTCATTTGAATTACGCCTATAAGGGACAGGCCCCGACGCTCAATACTCCATTGTACTGAGATAAGAAATACATTAGTTACAGCAAAAGCTTTGTTTACAAGCTTTCAGACACAATCATTAAAATACTTAATGCCGAATATAATGTATTACAATTGTTTGAAGATTGCCTAAAAAGTAGAGAGAATATATTATCTATAAAAGACAAGCCTGGCATTTTAACAAGTTAAGTATTTGTGTGCATTGATATGCAGGCAGTGCGCACGCTAGAAAACTGCATGGAAGTGTTTTCATGCTCATATGCACATAATTGCCTGGTGTACTAAAGTGTGCACACAATGGCTAATTCGCTTTTAAAAGCAGTGAGGCCCAATTACTACCACCTCAGACAACTTCCAAGGGCCATTCTGATCTAGGTTTTAAAGTAGAGTTAAAAACTTAACAAAGATATGCCCACAATCACATTGCTTCCTATATAGTTAACCTTTAAAAACAAAAATAAGATGGCAAAGAGCACCAAACCAATGCGGGTTGGGGTTTTTTTTACCCTATGTGTCATTAAATATGTTGTTATCTAACAAAAAAGGAAGTAATTCCTTTGTCTAGATGTCACGTTGTAGCAAAGACTGAAACCCTACAGAGGATTATTATGGCTGAGAAACTTTATTCAGGATGAGAACGTGACATTAGAATACAGTAATTATTAAAAGGCTACAGTTAAGTTTTTCCTAACCAGGTCGCTCCGCAGAATTTTCTTTCTCTGCCTAAACACCCCTGTAATAAATCATAATAGGGTCGAAGTGTATCTATAGCTGTCTTTGAAAGACATGTAACAGGATTGGTAACTGCCTTTATATTGGAATTCTAGCTCTAGGAAGGCAAGACAAGGCACCACAAGCCATGTATACAAATATGGATCTTGTATTCTACCTCTTCTATGTCAAACTAACTTCACGGGTATATAAAGTAGCAAAAGCAGGATGTTTAGAAAAGTCAGGCTGGTTTTCATAAAGCCAATGCTTACCAAAAAAATTAGTGTATAAAAATGTTTATGTGAGCATTTCCATGCTATTGCAGAATGTTAAATATTCCAAGAACAACCTACCAGGAATAGCACTTTCCAGCTTCTAAAATCAGTTAAATATAAAAGTATCTTTACAAAAAAATAGGCATATAAGTCTAGCATTCTTTGGAGTTGTTTATGATGGTCTTTTAAAAATAACCTAGTAGTTTATTTCATGCATCAAAATCATTAATTTTAAACAAGAAAACTATTCCCTGGCTTAGAAATATTCGAAAATTGCTTTTAAAAAAATTGTAGTGCTATTCCTCAGTGTTGCTGTAAAAAGATTATGTATAGTAGTGCAATGATTACGATTACACAAAATTGCAGTCCAGGTGCACAGACAAGCAATTAGGATAAATTCAATGTAAAGGACTGGACTTCACACACCATTTCTTTAGAAGAGTAATTAATAGATTTCCTTTCAGGAAAAAATGCATACCGTAATTTAAGGCAAATGTTATCTTTAAAGGTCACTTTAGATTTCTTCAGGAAAGAAATAGCTTAAAAAAGCTCCCAGAAAGACTCCCACTTTAATGGCTATCAGTGTTCAGTCTTGCATCACTAATCATTGCACTGCTATTCACCATATACAGTAGCTATTTATCAACTAGGACGCTAATGTTTACATGTACTTTGTTTATGACAGCACAGATTTTGTAAGTAAATATCACCAGAAAGACCTATACAAAATAAAGGCTCTTAACTACCAAAAAGAAAGCCACTTGCAACTTTTTAAGGTGAACAGGATGGCAAGCATCCAGTTCTTCTGGTTTCAAGATGGTAAAGGGCATCCTGACAATTATTCGTTTGCTGCAACTCAGAATTTAAGACAAATGTAGGCTGCCAATTTAAAAAAAAAAAAAAAAAACACAAATTATTTTTTTCATCAAGCTCTTGAAGATACAACTAAATACTAACTCTGAACTGCGAGCTTCCTGCTATAGCACTCAAGCTTAGATTCAAACTTCCCTGATGTCCGAAGTCATTCAAATCCAAGTTTCACATCTGACTCCCTTCTCAACCATTACTGTGATTTCAAATCCAAGAGAAAATTTATTTTTTTTTAAAAAACATTGCCAAATATTCTGCAAATGGCTCTTTTGGATAATAAGTTCCTTTCTACATGTAAATAGGATAGACAAGCAGGTACAGTTCAACGTGTCACAGATATGACAATTGTGTATAGATCTTCTGGAAAAGCAGTAAATTCCAAAATACATAAATATTCCTTGTACCATATAGCAAGACAGTATCCTAAACCAATTCGTAGACAGGGACCAAATGTTTGCAAAGAAAAGTAGTAGGGGCAAGATAACTCTTCATACTGAAGAATCTAGAGTTACCCCAGTGCAATATTAACATAACTGCATTAATGATATTCAAACTTGCTGTGAAAGGCGGTAAGGAAAAACAAGCCTATAATTAAATCTGCAAACTTTAGGTAATTACTGTACCTGGTCTATCCACCATAACTTTGAATAACTGCAAGTTCATGCAAAAAAAAAAAATTTGCTATCTTATATGAAGAGAGCAGTCTGTTAGAAGCATTGTTATGGAATATGCAAGAAGTCATCTCTTTTGCAAGTGCTGTTTACTTAGTCAGTCTCTTGGCTACATCACTGTAAGCTATTTCAATTTCTTTGTCTCCAGGACAGGTATTGGTGAATTCATCCCTGCTATAAGCATTCGTCAGATATCTCCAAATCCCTGTCATTTCCTTGGGAATCTCAAAGTTGCGGTATTTTTTGGCCACCACCTAGAACAAAAGAATTACATGATGAATTTACATCCTTCAACTTAAACCACTTTTCCATCCCTTGTCACTCTCTCGTTAAGTTATCCTTCCAACATGTACACTCAGAGTTACTTCTAAAGTCAGCAGAGCCTGCCTCTCTGGGATACGCCTGGACCTGGCAGCATACTGCCTCGTTTAGTTTGTATTGCTGTTCTCGCTAAAGCAAATACTTCTGCACCCAGGCAAAAACTTAATCTGTGGCTCCATCTGCAGTACAAAACTGACAAAGATCACTGGAGACAGTGAAAAGCAATCAAACCACAATTATATAGGCACATCTTCCCTCTTACAGTTATCCTAGGCTACCTCTTTCCAGACTTCCCACCTTTTTTTTTTTTAAATACAATCCTTGTATTTCGTATTGTGTCATTTACTTTGTGGCCAATAGAGCAGTTCTCTACAGATGTGAGAAGACATCCACTTCAAACATTAACTGGTCACACAACAGTGATGTTCACCTTCCTTCTTCTACCTCATTCTTTTAAGCGTTGCAACTTCCTGTGACCACACTGGTCAGTGCAGTAAAACGGGTTTTGGCTTGCGCCATTTTAGCATCTGCGGCCCAACTTGTCTACTGGTTCACACCTTCACTGAATTCAACTGCTCTGTCCCTAGAGCCCTTGTGAATTACCCAAATCTTATGCGATTTCGTGTCCTGTTAATACTGTAATCAAACTTACACGGGAGTTTACAAACGGTTGAAATTAGTTGGACTCCAGAATGTCACAAACCATAAGCATTTTGTCCTTCATTATCACATAACACACAAGGCATTTACCTTGACAATGTGTAGTTTGGGTAGCAGGTTGCAGTCTGCTAACGTCATCTCATTGCCATCCAAAAACTTGCGGGTAGAAACTGTAATATCCTCCATGCTATTTTCATCTATCTCATCAGGAAGGGGAGAGTTCAGATACTCATCCAGTTTCTGGAGGGTTTTCAAGAGGCCACGTTCTAAGGCTACAGAGGAAGGAACAGTTTTAAGAACAAAAAAGAAAGCCAAACCACAGCACATGAATTTCAAAGTAAATTATCATTTAAAATATTAGTAGCAGATCTGAAAAAAAAAAAAAGCCACATCACTGTGCTACCCACAACAGTCCCTATACTGAAGGATTTTTAACCATTGTACAATTTTTATGGCAGCGCTACCACTGGAGCTGCCTTCGTGGTCACTAGTAACACTGAAACTGAACTAGAATGCCTTTAAATATCACACAGATGCAGGTTATTTAAAAGCTGGTTTATACATGAGCTTGCACTAACTTAAAATACTCTAAGACTGTCCACAAGTGTTTATTTTTGGTTTAAAAAGTGGCTTATGTCAGTTTCTTAAGACTATTCGTAACTGGCTTAAACTAATTAGAAATAAGCTATGCTAGGGTTTATTATTCATTTAAACGTAATCTGTTTAATGTCACATGCTCAGCTAACAGCCAGGACTAAACACGCAGACTACCGAGGAGGTTTATGGAATATAGCAGCAGAGGGCAGCACACCCCACAAAATCGAAAAATATTTCTCAGCTGTTTACAAACATTTTGCATCTCTCCATCTGAAATACAGCAGAAAGGCATTCTGACTCCCCAGCTAAAGTTTTCCCTCCAAGTACGTTGAAGACAAAAGATTTGTACTAAACTATTTAAAGGTCTAATTGTGCATTCTTTCTCTCTTATTGACCTTCCATCTACTACCTTCTCTCCACACAGAAAGGTCTTAATCCTTCAAAGAAAGTGACACGAACTAAGCTTTAGCCAGAAGTCTGCATGGGAGCCCTCAATCCCAGAAAGGTCAAATAATGAAGTGTGCAGAAAGGTCTCACAGCAAATGCAACTTTCAATGCCAGGGCTATTTACAAACCATGCATACCCTACTAAAATTCTGACTGAACACTGTCTAATTGAAGTTCACTATGAAGTGTTGAAATCTTTGTCTCTGACTATTAACTTTAAACCACAGGTTTAATTTGTGAGACTCCCTCAAGTCTCCATCAACATGCAGAAAAATTTATCAGTGAGACACTTCACACGAAAGCTGCTCTGAAAAACACAAGAGAATGAAACAATGCGTGCACAGCTATCAGCTCGCAAGTAACCTACCTTCATTAGCTTCTGGTCTAGAATTTTTGATAAATGCAGAAAATTTGGCAAATATATCCATTCCAGCAGTGTTTGATTCTGGATGCTTTGGTGAAAGTTTTAGGTACCTGAAAAGCAGAAAGGAGTAGATCTACAGCACATTTAGCAGAACGATGCTCATCATGTATTAACTAGCACAAAACAGTCCTCTAAAAAAAAAAAGATTCTGCATCATGTATATTTACCAATTTATCCATTTTCAGACTTGCTTCTTAAGTGTAATATCACACACTTCTATTTAAGTTAAGATTTTTACACCCAACACTTTTTAATCACTTTTCAGAGGAACACCAAAGCTTATTTCTGCTTTCTGAATCAGGCATTTATTTCAAGCACAGTGTGTCTGAAACAGCCCAAGGTCACAAGAGCAAGCTCCCTTACCCTAGCACAGCAGCGCTGCCAAGGGGGCAGCTCACAGTTCTGTAAACAAGAATATAGTTAGGCATCATGCAGATAACAAATTAAACACTCTTGTCCATTCTCTGGAGATTTATTTTTTTCCATTTAAATTAATATCAGCTGTCCCAGAATATGATGGACTCCAAGTCTTGTAACAAAAAAGTAAAGTCTTGTCACACTAAGACGACAAAACAGTTCAGTCTGCATTTTGCCATTGCCTGCCAGCTGAGGGAGAAGCAAGCCAACAGTTTAGAGAAAGTTTGAACACATTTCTCATGCTTGTGCTGTTTAATCTAATTATTTGTAAAAGTGTCCAGTATTTTCTACCATAATTTCCAAATACTAAATAACCGATCTCCAGGACTCATCATTATGCCTAGTATGAAGGAATTTGTTTTTAAAAAAAATATTTCCAAGTTGCATTTAGTAATCACTGGTTTTGTACAATTATCAACTGTCCCTCTGCTTATACAAAGCTGGAAGGAATTAAAAAAAAAATTTAACATTAAATCCAAAGTTCATTGAAATTCCTGGTGAGAACAAGAAAACGACAAATTCTTGAAGACTCAAATAACACCTTACTTCTAGAAGAATGACTGCAAATACAAGTCTCCAAAAGGACAGTGCACATCTCCTTAAAACAGATTCCCACAATAGTTTATTATGGAGTCAGGACTAAGTTTTGTATAGCCGGCTCACCTTCGCTTACATTATTTGGACACATCATCAGAATAGCCTGCCCCAGTCATCAAAAGGAAAAGTTATTTAGTTTGAAATCTACAAGAAGATCACAGGACTCCACAAAGGACAACTTAAAAATAATCTTTAAAATAAAAACAGTTTTTAACATAAGGATAACGGAGCTGGAAGGAGGAAGGGTACGACAAGCAAGATCTCCAAGCTATTTTCAGTGTCTTATCTTCAGTGTACTGATGCTGAAGAACATCTTAATTAGTGCAGAAAACCCCTTTGAGAACATTCCATCTAATCTAAGGTGACAAATTATCATTTTAACACTTACTTGGGTGGAGCCAAAACATCTTCCAGGAACTCTTCAATCTTATTCACATCTGTTTTCACTTCACCATTGTAAGTTATGAAGGGCGGATGAGTGCCTGGAGCCAAATTTTGAAGGTCTGCTGGTTTTCTAGGATGAAATACAAACCAATACAAATGTAAGCATGGGACATCCATGACCCTAGCTTTCATTGCTACAGGCACAAAAGCACTGCCTGAGGTTTTCACATCCTTGCAGATTTAAAAAGATATCACCAGTTTTATTTTTAAAAAGTAAGTTTACAGTTTGATTAGCATTTTGAATATAAACTTGATAACAGTTAATTTCATACACTTAAAAACAACTGCTTCCTCCTACCTCTGGCTATGGTTTTTTTCAAGTTGATATAATGCTGACTAGCAGGGGGCATATATATACACACACCACACAAACACACTCTCTCTTTCCCAAGATGTGCAGTACAGAGTTTATATATAGCGTAATCTGCGATCAGTGGTAATCCTCCCCCTTTACACAGGGCTTCTCTGGAAATAAGCAGGTCTGATATAGAACAGTACGTATAAACCATTTATTTTGGGCACACAGAATCTGGTTCTAGACAAGCTGACCGATGCTTAAACATCATGTTTAAAAATTATGCTTAAAGCTTCCTCCAGTGGAAAAAACCTATTTAAAAATAAGAGCAGCACACTTGGGCAAAAGGAGGAGAATCCCCAACACTGGTATGACTAGATACAAGAGAAACAGCATCAAGCCAAAAATACTCAGACATTTCTGAATCTTAAGTCAGTTTTGGCACTAATCTCTTGCTGTTCACTCCAGCTCCTTTCATACTAATCCTTATTAAGCTAAGCCAGTTATTTTATAAGCAATTGGCTTCTCCCTCCTCTAGTTGTGCGTTGATGCTGTAGTGACAAGGAACAACACTGCAGGCATGTATTTAGAAGCCTATGTGTCAGCTGCACATATACACATACCTACTCATTCACCTCAAAATGCCTAACTGACTCTTTAATGTAAAGCTCTCACATCTGCCTTGTCAGCAGATTCAGATGCCAAGTTGAAGTCAATAATAAGATATAGGTTCATTACAAGCTATAAAATCCAAAGCATCATCTAAAAAGCTGCAGCCCATTTTTCCCCAGCAAATCATCACGGTATTAGTCAGTCCCACGCTAGTGCAACTGTCTCAGTGCAAGCAGAAATAAAATTACAGTACTGCTTGGCACTTCTTCTGTAGCAGCACTTAAAACTTCCCTCTGATGAAGCTACTGACTACAGTCCAGGATGACTGCTCAGAAGGACGCAGTCCGACTTCTCTAAGAACCTCCCCACATTTTAGAGGACAGTCTGCAATTCCTAGTTCCTCAGACCATCCCCGTGTACGAACACCTGACAGTACACACGATCCAGCTGAAGTACAACCATACAATTACAATTTTGTCAAGCTGACCAGAGCACGTGCTACAGGATGAGATGACCACCACCTTTTGCTAGCATTATGCTGGATGAGGAACAACAAACGATACCTGATCCAGCAAAAATTTGCCAAGATAAAGTCACCCCCCGTTACTGTTTGAACAAATCCAAATCAGACTGTAACCCTTGAACTGGGTTTGTACTTTGTACGACGTGGCCACATTTCTGAGCCAGCATCAGGCATCCAGGAACCGGACTTACTGGAACTAGAGTTCAAGAAAGCCTCCTGACTGTACTGGACAGGGAAACGAGAATAGTAATATACGCAAACATGGTCATTCAGGGTAGCATGAGAAAATAGTGTTTTCAGGGATAGCACTCAGACTCTGTAAACTAAACACAGTTTACAAGTTCATCCTGTAGAAACATTGCTTTCAATTTCTTACAAAATTAGGAACCCCTGCCACAATTTCACGTTCTGCCCACTGCTGATCCTTTTACGCAGGGCAAACAGCAACAGTATATAGTGCCAAAGCGTACTTACGACAGATATGAGCACTTGGCAGTGTATGTAAAGCTGAATGAGAAAACTGATTTTCAAACTTAAGGACATTAAACATCCTGCTTTTAGCCAGGTGACAGAAGTCTTCTTAATACAAGAATCTAATCATTTTCAATTTTTAAGCTTCCACGAAGTTATTTCTCACTAACAGTTGCCATCGCCCGCTTACTTTTAGGATTTAAAGTCTGTCATCGGTTAACACTAAGTAGCTTAACACTTCATTTAAATACAGCTTTGTAACCCACAACAATTACAGGAAGTCATTGTGGCTCACTTCCAATTTCGCATGTTGGTTAGATAAAATTCCTCAAAAGGAATGTTATTTTATAAACAAACACAGTCAAGACCACCAGATTTGCAGTAATACTCTCAAAGGAAAGAGTTTATTTCAGAAACAGACTAGTCTAATGAACTAACCAAAAAAGTTTTCCAAAGAATCAGAGTGCATCTCAAGGATCCCAGAGCATTTTATTAACCCTCTTGCCACTCCAGTCAGACCACCTGTTATCTTTCAAGAAAAAGAAAGCAGAGATTAACAACCCACAGCCAAAGCCCAAACATAATACAGGGTTTGACTTCCAGTTCGCTACTCTTGCCAGTAGATTGTAACAAATCCTGGTTTACCACAAACAAGCCACAGCCTTTAGAGCACCACGAGTACACAGGAATATCCTTAAAAGGCTGAGAGTACAACTTCCCTTAATAGTCAAACAGGAAGGCAATTAAAAATATTACAGTGAAGTTTACTTTAGAGATAAAACTGGACAGCTTAAAAAAAAAGCCTTCTAAAACCACTCAAAACAATTCCACAATAGCTAGTACCTGCCCCAAAGTTTACCGGGGTATTTGGAGGTAGGGCCACAGACTTAAGTATCTGCCTATCATTAGCTAATTAAATGGGCAGGCTCTTTAACACCAGAGTTAAGGTATAAACATTTCATGGCTTTGCCACAAACCAGAATTGCAATTAGCATTCAAATAATTTCTTGAAGATCAGACAAAAGCCAGCCCACAAACGTAATACACTCCACAGTGATTTATGAATTACAGAAGTACTGCAATGAGTGTCTGAAAAGTAACATGAAAAAAAGGCCAGCAATAAACCACCCCCCATCTCCAGTTCCTAAGCAGTATTTTACACTGCTGAAGTTGCATTCACCTCTGGGCAGTCTTTAATATTTACTAATCTCTTCATTTAATCTTTGTCTGTCAACATAATTGTAAAACCACACAATCAAGATGTTTAAAATAGGATTTCAAAACTTAACTGAATGCAAGCTGGCCTTGAATGCTGTTACAAGCCCAACAAATGGTTTATGTTGCAACTCTGCTCTAGTCCACAGAACAAGTCAAATCTGAACACTGACATGCTGCTTCTGAAAAGGGAAAGAATAAAGCCTCTGTCTGACTAAACAGAAGCAAGAAATCCATGACTTCTTTGAAAGGGCAGTACGTCCCACTTCGTTTGCTTGTGTGCATATTTTTGTGTCTTAAGAGTAGAACCGAGAACTGCAAACTGTTCTTTTGTTAGCACAGTATGATGTCCAATGCAATTACAGAAGGGAAAAAAATACATGCCAGAGTCAGTCAACTCCGACTCAGTTTTTCCTGTGTCCCAAGTTACTTACTTGTGAACTTTTGTACCCAAGCATGACCTTTTAAGCCTCACAATCAGACAGAGCTTGCCTTACTGTTCTGCAGAAATGACGCTATGAGGCAGAAGCACCGTTTGCAAGTAAACCCTTTTTCTTTTTTGGCTAGCGAAATAAATTCAGATAGTTAAAACCATTACTACCCAGCTCTTTAACAAGTTTGTCTTTAACAGGAACAAAAAGAAGAGAGGTTCATTGGCTTGAATAATGTACTTGTAAAAGCAACTTCTTGTGACAGTATTAGAAGTATTAAGGCAATATCTAGCAGTTATTATCGTCCTGGTAATGCTAACAGGGTAAAAAACACCATCTGGTATAAAACATTTCCACTTGAGCAGTTAGCTGAATTTGACATTCTGCAAGCTACACTACTCTACAAGTAGACAATCCAGAATGCTAAATTTGTATTTACGAAGCTTTAAATAAAGTCTAAAAGAAATTAAGTTGGTATCAACATCTATTCAAATCTGAATTAGCTTCAGTGGTCCTTCTTTTCCTTTACCAGAAAATACAGTCAGTGTACAAAAAAAAAGTAGAGTTCATTTGATCTATTCCTGTGCAGTTTTTTTTTAATTTTGCACTTATTTTGTGTTTTACCCTGCCCAGTATAAAAAAAAAAAGAAAGCTTTCCTTGTGTAAGAAAGGACAATTTTAAACATCTGCAACCAATTTATATTCTAAAAGTTGGTCTTACATCCCATTCCCCTATCCAATTAACTCAGAGTTGCCAAAGGGACACAAATAAAGCTAATTCATCTGGCTCCTTTGGCATTTTAATGATCTCTCTCAGACTGGTTCAGCAGTAAAAATACTTCCAAGTATAAAATGTCTCTTTCAACCTTCTTCTCATCCCCCCTGCCCCAATAACTGCAATAGGTTAAGTAACGCCATCATTAAAAGTAAAGGAAGTCCAAAACTACAAACAGTATGCAAACACAAGTTCTGCTCCTGAGGTTTCCTGAGGTTTCCACAGGTTTATGTGTGCTGGCAGCAACAATTATATTTGCAGTAAAATCCCACACTGGCCAGAGAAGATCTTTGAGCTGCTACAAATGCACACACGGTTGACAAAAGCTGCTTTCTCCCCCTTTGTTTGAGTGGTCTGCCTCAGCCTTACTACACATGGGAATATTTAACACTAGTTGCCAGCACCGAAGCAGCAACTTCAGTGATTTTTAAAAATCAAAACAAGTCACCTCCTTCAAAAATCTACAAGAAGAGGTTAAGTCTAGCAGGGTGATTTCTTTGTTACAGGTTTTACACTTGATTCGTTGGAGAACACTGTATATTTCTATTGGCTTTATTTCTGAAAATAAGGTTTGTAAGCACTGGCAGTCTCTCCTCTCTCCAGAGAGTTCAGTGACTAACATTACATTACATTAGTGCTGTGAAAACATTACTTCACACCAAAAACAAATACAAGGCCTCTGCTGAATTTAGCATTAACACTTCTAATAAAAGTATACCCAACCTTAGGAAATTAAGACTCCTGGAGTCACATCTCACCCTTCTTGGCTCTTAAGGTACTCATTTCATGGATGGAGAAGTTGCAATTTAGGTGACACGCAGCATCATGACATATCTGGCTAACACTATACAAAGGCAGACTATTTCACATTTTATTCCTACCCATTTCACTTCAATTTCACTCGTATTTACCTCATGGACAGATATTTTGACATCATTTTTATTCTTATTGCATAATAAGCAATATTATCTTAAAATCTTTAAAAAGAGGAGTAGGCTGCACATTATTTGTGAGAGTTATCCAATAACCATTGGAGCTTTGATCAAAGATTGGTGGATGTAAAATACCCATCCAGCAGCCTTCACTTGTGGGATCTCAACGTGAAGTTAGTAAGATTCAATATTCAGTTATAGAAGACTTCATGTCAGCTCTTAGTTTTACAGAAGAGCATCATTGAACAAATTCAAGAAAAATCTATCAAAGCCATTCTTTTTGGTTACAGATACTTATAAATAACCATCAATGAATGCACCATTTACTTTAAGGTTGCCTCTTAGTATTTATGAAGACAGATTTTAATTTCAGAAAATAAGCCATGCAAGATTTAGAAGTCCCAGACAATCATTCGTTACACCAAGCGTACTGTACTCTTGCTTGTCAGATAAATCAAGTATTTCTTACCTCTTCAGGTCAACTGTTGTGACGCTAAACACTACTCCCTTCAGCCAAAGAATCATGAACAGCCTCTGAGAAAAAGGACAGTTTCCTATGCTTTCACCATCACTGCCAGCCTGCAGAAGAGAACAGATTGTTAATTAGAAGGTAGGACTGTGCCATCTACATATGCTCACACTTACTGAAAGATCTTTATTTAAAGACAGACTCAGTAACAAATCACAGGGTTTATGGCCTGTACAGTCTTCACATCACTAACTCTTCCAAAGACCTAACAAGCTTACAGGCAAACCCAGTATCATCCTGCAGGAACACTCCTTTCCTCTCAAAATCCAGCTGATGCACCTGGACCAAATATCTGGAAGGTATCTCCATAGAAACCACAAAGATGAGCATCCTCAGAATATTTAAATACACTTCATATACTGGGAAGGTATGCATGGACTTTAGCATCATCATTTTGTTTGTTTATTTTTTTTAAAATACTTGCACCTTCCAATTATTTTTTTGCTGCAGACATAACGAGGATTTTATTACAGTAAAATTTGCACATTTATGAAGTCAACTAACCTATTTACTTGTCAAGTCCTCTAATAGCTGCTCACGAAATGTATCAAAACAAGATTTCAGACAACAAAATAAGTTATCTTTCACACTGAAGATGATCCACACGCTCTTAACAGTCAAGAAAGGGCAGCTAATCATATTTGTCTGAGCAGCCACATCTTTTGATGGCAGTTTTCCAATGTCAATATTGTTCTTTGTTCTTTATTATCCTTTTTTCCTTCTTCTACAAGGCATAGCTAATTAATTGTAGTCATCTTCCAGTTTATTGCTTATATCTCGCACTGTGCAGTGCTAACAGCGAGCCAACTGCAACCAGGAACTATGAATCTTTATTGTATTGCAGGTGTTGTAAGGAAAGACAAAACTGTAAGTACATAGAGACTTCACTGACAATAAAGTAATATTCCAAATTGCCTATAAAAAGTGGCTTTATCAATAAGTCTTTGTCCTACCACAACAAAGGTCCATTACATAGCAACAGTAAGCCACTCCAGGGCACCCAGTGATGGCATGCATCTCATGATTGCTCTGACAATGAAGTATGTATTGCTGAGTTGGAAAATTTTAGGTTTTACTGGGCTAGAATTAGACACGCAAAACCTTGAATCTTGTTATAAAATTCAATCCTGTGAAAAAAAACCAAACCAAAACTGGTTCAGTAGTTCAAACAGCCATATATGTCAGATTATCTTGACACGTACTTTACATTAGACGAGTTTCAAAAGATTTTGCTTATCATTATTGAGTACTTCCAAGAATAATCTTAACCGGTACAATTCTCAAAACTTGGCAAATTATTTCATCATTACAATTATCTGTTCCCTAGGCCACTTTAAAACATACTGTAGGATATGCTGGCTGTAGCCCTCAAGAGAAATTACAGAAAACAATTAAGTTCACTAAGCACAGGGTACTTAGAAGCAGAGCTACGCAAGTGGAAGGCCTGAACACAAGGCCTGAACATTGACTGGTAGAGACTCAGCATCTTAAAAAAGAGGAGGGTGAGAGGGGCTGGGAAAGAGGGAAGAGAAGAAAAGCCAACAAAAAGTATGGTCACAAGAGAACTAAGTTTTAGGACCAGAACTAACTAGAGAAAGGTTTAGATGCTCAGGCAAAGGAACGGCTTCAATTCTCTGCCAGTTCCCACCCCCGCACTGAGCAGGGGCCACAGTGGGGAGAATGAAGGAAGACTTTGCAAGTTAAGAGGAGTAACAGTAGGACTTTCAAAGATCAGGAAAATAGGAAGTTTTTCAGTGAAACTGCCTTAAATTCAGAAAGCTATTTTGAACTTCAATTCTCTGCCAGCTCCCACCCACGCACTGAGCAGGGGCCACAGTGGGGAGGATGAAGGAAGACTTTGCAAGTTAAGAGGAGTAACAGTAGGACTTTCAAAGATCAGGAAAATAGGAAGTTTTTCAGTGAAACTGCCTTAAATTCAGAAAGCTATTTTATTTTGTAAAAATTCGTGGCACCGTTGCAGAAAGGCTGAGACTCGTTTAACAGTCGTCGACAAATACCAGGACAAGCAGATTCATAAACTGATTTATGTTGCCTCAAGCTTATGGTCACATTTCTACAAGTATCCCTCTTGTCAGCGCTGACTATCCTTCGGAATACTTTGTTGTGGAGACTATAGAGCCATTTTTCTTCAAACCTTTATTAGTGTCATTAATGAAGATTTGAAAGAAAAAAGAAGTTGTCTTTCTGTCTCAAATTGCAAATTGCCTCCTTTATCCTTGGAAAGTAAAGTAAAACTTGCAGCAGATTAATGATATTAGATTGCCTTAAAAGCTGGCATGTGACTTCTCAGTCAGGAAGTCACTCAGGAAACTAAAACTCTAAAAGCATCCACAAAAAAGGATAAAACAGAGTCAGTTTGGTTACTCTGGGCATTCTGCTTTATACCAGCCCAATCCACAGTTCTCTGTTGTGCATGTAACTGCTGTAAGGATTCTAGCTACGATATGGATTAATATGTTCCTACCTCACAAGATGCTTACATGAAAAAAGACTCCACTCTGCAGTCTATTTCCAATAGCTGTACACTTTTACAGGTGTCAATATTTAACCACAGTGCCATCCCTCCAGACAGCAGCTTATATTTCAGGATTTCCCACTTAGTTACATTACTGTGTTTACACTGGAACAGACATTTCCTGCAGGTAAATTATGCCAATGTAGATTTATACTCATCTACCCTTTTTTCTTTCTGCATGCAATATCTTATCAACCTTTGAAAAACAATATTGAAAAAGACAACACTTCATCCCATCTCAGGAAAATCCATGTTTTGCACTGCCACGCTTTGAAGGAGAAATAATTCTTTGATTCAGAACCGATCTCAGTCTTCAAGTTCTATGGCAACTTAACAACGCTACTTCAACCAAAGCACACGAGTTTTGCCGCAGTAACAGCACAGGAGTGCGTGACCCCATCCAAATAAGCTTTACCTCACTTCCTCTGATGGAAAAGCGACCACACATTTACTGTAAAGGAGGAATGTGGGCATTTACCAAAGTGCAACACCCTAAGAGCATGAAGCCGTACCTTGAGGCACCTCCCAGGAACCGCTCACACTGCTGTGCTCAGGCAACTCTGGATCTGCCCCTGGCTGCCACAATCAGGGGTCTTCAGCCTGTTTTGCTCACACCAGCCACACTTACATCAGCCAGCACAGGACCTAGTCAGGATTAGCTCTCCTCTCTCTTCATCTTTTATTTAGGACTTCTGACCTCAAAAACAGAGACCAGAGCTGGTGCAGTATGACACACATTGCCAGAGACCTCATCTGATACAGACTAAGGAAACCTTTGAAAAGAAAAAATAAAAGGCATGTAACAGAAGGAAGAATCATTGGGATGCAACTGCCTGCCATCAACGTACAGATGATCCTCAGCACCAAATGAAGTCGAGAGGCTTAGCTTCAGTACCACAGTATCAACAAATGTAACTGAGACATTTCCTGAGGAGAATACTAAGTTAGGTAAGCACTAGTCAGCTCCCCTAATTTCATTCCAGTATTTGAAAGCACATGAATAGCGTTCTAATGGACAACAGGCAAGCATCTAGAAGACAACTAGTTTTTACAAGCCACTTTGTTAATTTGTGAGTTGCAAAACATGACTTTGAAAAACTCACTGCAGAGGGCTGATTGAGAGCTTTAAAGATTTATGATCCATCACCAGATGTACAAAGTAAGAAGTTACTCAGAAGCAGAGAACTCAAATAGAATTAGATGAAAAAGCAAAATGGTTCCCCTATGCACAAAATAGACTCTTTTTGCAGACAGAATCAAATACGAAGAGTTGTTATTACAAACCTTCAGGGTTTTTCCTGAACTCAGGAGTTATAACATCAATCAAGTCTTTGGCTGCCCAGGTTTTGCTGCCTGTCAATGTGATGGGGAAAAACAGTGACCCTCCCTCAGCAAAACAAAGTTCCAAGGGGGCAGGAAAAAAAATATTAATGTTAATGACTAAGAGATATCAAATATTTTTATATCAGACAGACTTTGGAATTTATCAGCTGCAACAACAATACAGTTTGAAAGAAAGTTAGGGTATTAGATAACACCCTATGCCTTCTTTCATATGATATAATTCCACCATGGAGCTTTATTATTTCTAGTGGAAGATTTTAAAACTGCAACTGAAATAAACGAAACTCAGATTCAGAAGGCAGTTTTGCTTATTGTACTACCAAAAAAAAAAGAAACCTTAGTCCATCCAGATCCCAAAGCACAGAAACTTTTGAGTCACAGAACTGAACAAAAAAATTGTTTAACATTTAAGGCATAGCACTGAACTGTGGCTTTGAAGAAGGTCCATCTGTCTAAGCCAAAACTAATACCAAAACCAAAGTGACCAATGAGGACCAAAAAAGGTCAAATGCATTTACACTGCTATGTCAACTTGTAGCAAAACTTTTATTCTCTCCCAAAACAAGCGTAACATTCAAAATGAACAAACAACAAATAGCATCTGCTTTTGTTTAAGACAGACAAGCTTTTTGGATTATTTGAATCAGAAAAAAAGGATTATAGCCCACTAACATACAATGCCTTGAACAAAACCTAACGTATTTTCAAAGCTGCAGCTGAACAGCTAAACTGAGCTTAGCCTTTTAGGTCTACATTCAAACGTTTGTCCCACTTCTGCTCCAAAAAGTCCCAAGTTATTCTGAGCACATACTGGAAAAGGAATGCAGTCAGAATGCCAAGAAACTTCTGGCTTCAGTGCTCTTGAGCCAAGGAATTCTGCTATGTAACTGTTTGCCCGAGAGGCCCGTTTTCTATCTTCGTGTGTTTGATGCACCGTGAGCTACAGCACAGATCTGTTACAACCAGTCATCAAGGGCAACACTATGCTGGCAATGCAACACATGATTCTCCTTCAACCACCTCAGGATTTTTTTGAGAGGGAGGCAAGTTTGGTAGAAGTTTCTGCAACAGTCAGTTCTGACTCTGATTTTCTTCACTGGAATAGAGCTGTGCTAGTAGAAAACTGTAAGCATCTAAATATTGAAAAAATATTCTGAAATTCTACATAACTAGTAGTCATGC